ACCGTCTCGTCTCCCCGACTCTCGACACGTTCGACACATCACTCCTCGTACTCTTGCACCAACATCCCTGCAAATATCATTTCCCCTCGGTGCTTCGATCCGCTCGGGAGAAGTGGGAAAGGCCTAAAGAAAGGAATGCGGACCTGCGATGGAGGCGGTGAGGAAGCAGGCCATGGACCCGGCCACGAAAGACCTCCACGCCATCCGGGCGACGACCTCCCGTTTCTCGGGGACCAGCGTGGCGATGGTGGCCAGTTCCGTGCCCAGAGCGCCGAAGTTCGAGAACCCGCACAGGGCATACGTCGCGATCGTCGCGCTCCTCCCCTAAGACACACGGCGACCGTCCGGAAACGCACGAGAAAAGGAAATAAAACCCCCTGCATTGCCTATGGGTGGCTGAGGCCCGCCTGGTCGCATTTTTCAACCGGTCGATGTGGGCTTCCCATTGAATTTGGAATCGCACCAGAAGGGGCACGCTCCATCTGGTGCGATTCTTTCCCTTTGCATGCAGGGAGCCGACCGCGAGCCACGGCTTAAGACTCACGGAGAGCAGTCGGTTTTTCTTGAGTTGCCCCAGTCGATGATAGGCGATGAATTCGTTGACGACGGTCTTCACCGCGACCAATTCCCCCACGATCCGACTCTCTTCCCACGGCACGCCCATTGCCAGCGCCACCGGCATGAACAAGTACGATAACATGTACTAAAAAAAGGAAGAAAAAAAAAAAACAGTTCCATCTACGATCGTTCGGGAAGAAGTGCATGACCGAACGCGAATATTCTGTGATTGTTCTAGTTATCTACGGAACGACGAGAAAGTAACCGGCCGGGAGAACGATAACGAAACGAGAAATTTTCTCCCGTTTGATCCGTAGCTTTTTAATGCCTCGAGTTCATCTCGATGGGCATCCATCATTCTGTCCTCGTTCGTTCCGGAATTCACGCGACGGGACGTATCTAATCGTGGATACGACAGGAGAATTTAAAGAAAATCTGCTCGCCGCTGTCCATCTCTATTATTACGAACCGTCGGTGATTCCCAGGATTCCCAGTACTTCTACGGGATGATCTTTATCGATAAAGTAATCGTGTGATTCACGGATCAAACTCCAGAATATTGGGTATCGAATAAAAGTGGGAAGACTGGACTCGGGCTGCAGGTTTTCTTTTCCCGGGAAAACGGCGTCGAGAATGGAAATCTCCGCCGAGGCGGGGATTTCCGCTTTCTCGAACCAGGCAATAACGCCGGTAACGTTACGGCGACGGCAGTACCTCCAGGGTGAATTCGGACGTTCCGAGTAGTCCGGTGATCCAAGTGACGATCGCGTTCCCCTGGTGCACGGCCGCCGTGAACACGATCATGCTCACGAGCCACGACGCGTAGAGCGCCGTCGCCCGGATCGCCCCGCTCAGTCCAGCCTCCAACAGCGTCGTGTATTTCCTGCAACGGGCCAAAGGGAATTACCTTTTCCGCAATCTGCGCTTTTCTCTCTGCTCTGGGGATGTAACGATATCATATTGATATCCGAAATATATTATAATATTCGCTATATCCGATTCCACTTTGACTTGCCTCTCAGAGATGAGAAATCAACCAGCTATTTCGCTCACCATTAATTGAGGTAAGGATTAAGAAATAGGCTGCTGCAGTCCGTGGAGATCGAGTAACGTTTTCTTGGAATCCCATCATCTCCCATCTATCCAAATACTTTCTTTGAAGCCTGTCTCTTTCGTGATGTGCCACTCAGAAAAAGTTGAATTATTTTTCTCAAATACGTATTGCAAATTCATCGTTTCGTATCGTTTCTCGATATCGGCTCTTTAATACTGGTCGCAAAATATCGGCAATAGATGTCGGTCTGAATATCGGTTCGTCGGAACGCCAGAACTTTCCGATACCGTTACGTCCCGACGTTCGACCTCGGATTCGCGGGGAGACGCTCACCCGGTGTCCCTGTCGATGTGTTCGGCCCTGGTCTTGGACTCCTCCGTCTCGGGGTGGAGGAGCTTGGCGCAGGCGAGGGCGGCCGGGGCGGACATGAAGGAGGCCGACACCAGATGGGCGGCGGAGATCCCCAGCTCCACGAATGCGGCCAGCATCGGTCCTAGGGATCGCGAGAGTCAGCGGGGGCGTGAGGGTCGCGTGTGCGTGGTCGTTCGTCGTTCTCGGATTTCGGTTTCTGTTTTTAGCGGATGGATGGGCTCCGAAGGGGTGTAGCCCATTTGTGAGAATATCGATGGACGTTTATCGCGTCGCGTGTCTGTCTTTTAGGTTCGATGTGAGCGATGCCGGACCGTCCACGACGAGTGAAATGCATCTCCTTATTATTTTCTCTCGTTCACTTCATCGTTCGCAATAGGCAAGGCAACTTGTATAGACCTTTACTGATAACAGTTAGCTTATCTGGTCTCCGAACAATGACCTTCGGGATCCACAACAATCCGAGAGAAGTTAAACTAGATGAAAGGATTTATTTCCGGTGTTGCGAATGAGCCGTTGTTGACGATTTTCGCGAGTGCAACGTCCAAGCGCTTTGGGGAATCGGTAATATTGACAAAACTGGTGTCTTCCTACTGAATCAATTTTGCCTCTTTTCAGCTCACAGCTGAGAGATTTTTTTCAACGAAATCCCGAGAATCTGCAACGGAATGCGAGATGCTGCCACGGTCTCGCGTCCTTTTAGCTCCTGCGAAAATCAATTTACATAGTGAATTTTAAGCTCGGAGCCATTCCTACGCTCTCCAAGGACCTCATCGTCTGGAAAAGCCTGGAAAACGCTGAAATCCTGTTCCTTCGAGAGGCGTTTAGAAGTGAGATCTGGGATCGGGCAGGAGACGCGCTGACCTGCGACACTGGCGAGGCCGGAAACCACGACCACGTTCAACTCCGACGCCGTCATCAGCGGCAAATATGGCTGGATCACGGCAGCAGCAACAATCTGCAGGAATTGCCCCAATCACTCCACAGCCACACCCGCGTCCGCATTTCATCGGCGTAGTGCTCACGTGTCCGACGAAGATGTTCGCCGCCGCATTCATCGACTCTGCGGCCGTCGTGGAGACGAAGGACTGGAGGAGCTCGCCCAGCTCAACGATGGCCCATTGCATGACCCCGATGTGGTACAGCACCTCCAGGATCCAGTTGAAATAGAAGATGGTCACCACCGTCTACACGTCACAAGTAGGAACGAGGTTAAAACTCGCTGGTGCTTGGAGGACCGACGAGGAGAAACTTTCCGTGACAGATAAATTCGCATCGAATGTCTAATTTCGAACAAACTCCAGCGAATCTGGCCGACGTCGCGAAACCGACGGCGACTTGGCCTCGACCTTGAAAGCGAAGAGGGGCGGAAGATGCAGGCTCCCGCCCGGCTCTCCCGTCGCCAGGTACTCGAACGCGAAGAAGGATCCGTGATCCGTGAACCTCACGAACTGCGTGAACTTGTCGCCGACGCACTGGAGGAGTCGGCGTCCGACCGACCACCTCAGGATCGCCAGCCCGAGGAGGAACTGGGCCATCAGGCCCCAGAAGACTCCCCGCCAGTTCACCTGCGGAGTCGAGGACGAGGGAGTCGATGCATGGCCTGCCTCGTGCGATGGGAAATCGGGTCGAAATGAGTTTTTAGAGGAAGTTTATTTCTGAAATTTGGCGTGTTAGTTCCGTTAAGAGTCATCGAATGCTTTTGAGTTTTTCCGAGATTGTGACCATGGGAGCGGAGCAATGATTTTGGGAATTTCTGCCCCAGGAGCACGGCTTCGAGAAGCATTCGTTTGCATTAAATTTGCCTCTCGAAGGTACCTCAAGTGCAATGGATTCCAGCAAAAGCAGAAAATATAGTTTTGAAACGCTTTCAGGCAACTTACAAGGAATTAGACAGATTCCTTGAGGGAGGGATTCCAGAGAGAGAGGGAGGGAGAGAGGGCGGGAGGTAGGGAGGGAAAAGGCTTCCAGTCTTTGTCATATGGAGTTTGCACGTGTGTCATGACGTAGGACTTGAATGCTCGTCTGAGGCATCGGGTACATAGCTTGTCATTAAAACAATAGCTAGCTGAGTGTAATCGCTGCCTGCGACGATTCTCTAAAATGAAAAAGGTATGGGGGAAGACAGACTCGACGAATACCGAAGTGACGCGGTTCACTCGGTCTCCGTCACCTGGTCGATTCTTCTGCCCCCTGCCAAAGAGTCGAGTCGGATTTCGTTTCGAGTCGACGAAAGTCTCCTGCGCCGATGACAGACGCAGCAGTCTCTGCATCGGGCAGTTCGAGGAGCTCATGTGCTCGGGACTCGGCAATATTGTGGAGTTCCATGGATCACCTGGACCTCAGGTGACACAAAAAAGCAGCGACGACTAGCGATTCGCAAAGGAATGCGGAGTACCTGCAGAGGATGGAGGAGGTTCGTGCCCTGGGACCAAACGCATCCGACCTCGATCGTGTTCGTGAGTGCCGATGAGACCGATCGGAGGAGCGAGAGGCGATGGGACCTACCTTCCGGGGATGCTTGGAGAGGAGCCATCCGACGAGGAGGAAGAAGAAGATGCCGGCGCCGGAGACCAGTCTCGAGGGTTCGTCCCATCCGTCCACGACGACGAAGGTGGAGACCGCTAGCATCACCAGGCAGTGGAAGCCGATACGAGCCCGTCTATAGGAATTGCGATGAAGTGAACCGTGGACAGTGCCCAGGAAATCCGAATGTCGCCATATGAAACACTGATTACCCTCCCTAATGAACATTTAAAACAACTGACTGGTTAACATTTAAAAAAACTGATAACCCACCCTGTATTTGTGGCAAAAAAAAAATTGTGACAATCGAACGTGTAAAATTGATCCCAAGTTTCAGATTTCGCGATATGAGTAACTTGCACGATTTCCCATGCCACGGGGCTCGCTTCGCCATTCTGACAACTTACACGGCACGCCCTTCATTCAGAGCCGTCCCACACCAAAAAACGCGTTTTTGCGCAGCTCTAAGACTAGTCTTTCCGACCTCCTTCTTACTCAGATCCTTCTCCTCGAGTCGCGTCTACCATGGGAAAGAATGGAACTTCGGCCTCGTCCGCTTCGAAGAGGATCCTCTCGGAGACTTCGACGCCCGCATGACGAAGGAGAGTCCAGGATCGCTCGGGCGTCGCGCATGCTCGACGTGCGCCGATCGAACCGTGTGTTCCTCCCCGCCGGAGTCGATCTCGTGCCGACTCTGTCGGGAATCGAAAGGGCTTGCAGCCCGACTCCAATTCACTCCTTTATTTTTTTTTTCCGGCTCCTTTTGGGAGGAAGCCGATGATGGTCTACTGAGTGGCTGGGTACCACTTTTATCGTTAGGCCATATTTATTTGAGCATTGCCCAGACCCTGTTTGAAATCGGCGTGATGATATGCACGGAAACAGGATCATTTCCTTTTGGCAATGATCACGCCGAAACCATACTTTTTTGCCCATTTTATATTTGCGCAAGTGTCAACACGGATGTTTTCTGCTTCCTCGTCGAACTCTACTTCCGATCCATCTTTGAAAGGGAAAACCCGGACAATCAAGAATTGTAAAGGTCGAATTGGAAAGTGCGATAAGATTCCGCTCCTCTCACGTGAAAGGAGATTCTCAATCCATCTTTTTGAGCTCTGGAATGGAGCTAGTTTCTTGACGAGCTAGTGCAGAAAAACTCTCTTCCCGCCCAGGGTTTCCCCCACCTGCACACAGGACGTATCTGCATCTTCTGTAAACGAAAATTTCGCTGTCGTAGCCATTGGAATGCACCGAATAAATATAATCTTGAGTTATGTAGTGTGTAAAGACGACCATGGTCAGCGACATCAGTCGTTCCTGCATCGACAGTAACATTTCGCTCTTCTCCAGAGGGTTTATGACTGATGCATTTAATCTATGGTCTTGTGTTGCTCGTATACCGCACAGGAAGTACAAAGGACTGCTGGATGCGGGCTTGACGTGAGCGACGAGGGCGACGGGACTGTACGCGGCCGTCTTGGCGGCCATCATCGCATTCAGATCCGGAATGGAGGCCGTCAACACCCTCATGAATGCCCTCTGCTCTCTCCTCGGCTTCCCTTCGGTCACCATCCAGGTAAAAAACCTTTTCCTCTGCGAACCAGTTCATCCAGGAGCTTTAGAGTCGGGAATTGAATTAGTGTCGTCGATGACCTGTTGTTCGGTGCTCTTCTCGACAGTACCTGTTGTCGTATCTGTTCGTGCCGGTGTCGCTGGCGATGGGGGTGAGCTGGGAGGAAAGCAGGAAGGTCGGGGAACTGGTGGCCGTCAAGACTTTCTTCGACGAATTCATCGCTTATCATCAACTGGGGGAAATGAAGAGACGGGGTCTCCTTTCTGTCAGTCCCATGCTTTTACTCTCTTTATTTTTTTTATTTTTTTATTTTTTGCTTTCTGGATGGTTTATGTTCGTGGAACTAATTGTTTCTCACCTTGTCTGGAGAAAAAATTTCACATTCTTGTAAAAGGGCAGCTGTATCACGTTGCCGGGCACTGCAACTCTGCAGAATTATTTTAAGGAAACTCCCAAGCTTAAGAAAAGGCTCCAGTGTGCATGCTACCCGTAGAAAAGAGGGAGCATCATTGCATGAGTCCACAGTCCTGCTGGCAACTGTGCTTCCATGTTTTTGTTTTTACGAGTTTATACTTAAGAGACACGGGTGACACGTTTACGTGCCAAATCCTTTTTCCTGGGTCTGAGGAAGCTATGTCGGTCTCGATGCGCAGAATCGCAGCGTATCCATAGCGACGTACGCGTTGTGCGGATTCTCGAACCTGGCATCGCTGGGGATGATGGTGGCCATGTTGGCGGCTCTCATGCCTCACAGGAGACACGTCACCTCCAAGCTGGCGTTCCGATCCTTCGTGGCGGGCTCCATGGCGTGCTTCCTCACCGCTTCCGTCGCCGGTGGGTCCGCTCTTTTCAAAGTGCTATCCCTCTTCTTCGTTTTCCTCTTCACCGTTCTCACGCTATAGAAGTGCTAGAAATTCGAAAGAATGAACGGGCACAAAGAGAATCGGTGGGGAACTTGGGAGAATTTTAGGAGTCAAGCACTAAAAATCAGAGTAAGAACCGTTAGGTTATGCAGGAACGACGAGGCTGCCTTGTAACCACTCCGCATTTTAAGGGCTTTCTCTCTCCTTAGAAAATCGAAGAAAAACTCCATCGTGCTTTCTCGTAGGAATGAGAGAATATTATCTCAGATACTTGATGGCTTCCAGGAATTATTTCCATTGCCAAGAACTCCATCCTCCTTGCGTTACTGCTCCAGCTGGAGGATACAAAGTTAAGCTTAGAAAATGACAGCCTACCACAAAGGTGGTCACGGGTGAAATCGATGTAGTTCTTTTAAGGTAAAAATCAGAAGCATATTAGAACCTAGGGGACTTCTTGGGTCGATAGTCAAAAAGGTGTACTTGTCTGCGTAGAGCGTAGGAAAGGCATGGATCTTGTGCGTTTCGTCGAGAAATTCCGATGGTTGTCTGCATCGAGGTATGCATGGGTGTGGGAACAGATTCCATCGGTGCGGGAAACGTGTGATGCTTGGCCAAGAGTTACGTTTCAATATCGATGGCATGGAGATTAGTGGTTTTTATTTTTCATTCATTGCACGGGCACAGTGAAGTAGAGAAGAAGAGTGAAGCGAGTGTGGGTCGCTTCCATGGAGTCTTCTTTCCTGGCTTTTTTTTCTTAATGAAAGAGGGTCATCCCATACAAGTCTTTGCTTTTTAGCAAAGGGTAGGTAACGTCCAGGTTTAGTTTCCTTTTTTATTATTTTAGTTCTTGGACAGCCTTTTTTTTTTTAAAGCGGTCGTGAGCTAATGTTTTCTTTTTGGCAAGACTAGTTGATTTTTGCTTGCTGCTTTTCCCCTGACTCTTTTAATCATGCAGGGACTTTGCTGAGTCACGAGGGTTAAAGGAGAAGGCACTTGAAGAAATTCCGCTCGATGTTCGGCATCCATTTTCCACGATGGGATTCGGAATAAACTTTTTTTTCTCCAAATTTTTAATTCTTCATACCAGATGAGGTTTCATTTCTTACCTTTCGCTTGCCCTCGCCTTCTTGCTGGCAGAGCTTTAACTTTTGACAGACAGATGAAGGCGAGAGAGTGAAAAAGTAACGTCAACGTAGAACTGCCATTTATTAACGACGTGTGGAATTCGATGACCACTTGAGCCTGCTGCAGACGATTTGAAGTTTTCGGACAGTCGAAAATCATGTATTCAGAGAATTTATTGTGCGTTTCTGGATCGGTGGCGACCGTCTCGTCTCCCCGACTCTCGACACGTTCGACACATCACTCCTCGTACTCTTGCACCAACATCCCTGCAAATATCATTTCCCCTCGGTGCTTCGATCCGCTCGGGAGAAGTGGGAAAGGCCTAAAGAAAGGAATGCGGACCTGCGATGGAGGCGGTGAGGAAGCAGGCCATGGACCCGGCCACGAAAGACCTCCACGCCATCCGGGCGACGACCTCCCGTTTCTCGGGGACCAGCGTGGCGATGGTGGCCAGTTCCGTGCCCAGAGCGCCGAAGTTCGAGAACCCGCACAGGGCATACGTCGCGATCGTCGCGCTCCTCCCCTAAGACACACGGCGACCGTCCGGAAACGCACGAGAAAAGGAAATAAAACCCCCTGCATTGCCTATGGGTGGCTGAGGCCCGCCTGGTCGCATTTTTCAACCGGTCGATGTGGGCTTCCCATTGAATTTGGAATCGCACCAGAAGGGGCACGCTCCATCTGGTGCGATTCTTTCCCTTTGCATGCAGGGAGCCGACCGCGAGCCACGGCTTAAGACTCACGGAGAGCAGTCGGTTTTTCTTGAGTTGCCCCAGTCGATGATAGGCGATGAATTCGTTGACGACGGTCTTCACCGCGACCAATTCCCCCACGATCCGACTCTCTTCCCACGGCACGCCCATTGCCAGCGCCACCGGCATGAACAAGTACGATAACATGTACTAAAAAAAGGAAGAAAAAAAAAAAACACGACGGTCTTCACCGCGACCAATTCCCCCACGATCCGACTCTCTTCCCACGGCACGCCCATTGCCAGCGCCACCGGCATGAACAAGTACGATAACATGTACTAAAAAAAGGAAGAAAAAAAAAAAAACAGTTCCATCTACGATCGTTCGGGAAGAAGTGCATGACCGAACGCGAATATTCTGTGATTGTTCTAGTTATCTACGGAACGACGAGAAAGTAACCGGCCGGGAGAACGATAACGAAACGAGAAACTGGACTCGGGCTGCAGGTTTTCTTTTCCCGGGGAAACGGCATCGAGAATGGAAATCCCCGCCGAGGCGTCAACGCGAGGCGAGGATCGCGTCGAGCAGGAACGCTTTCTCGAACCAGGCAATATTGCCGGTAACGTTACGGCGACGGCAATACCTCCAGAGTGAAATCGGACGTTCCGAGGAGTCCGGTGATCCAAGTGACGATCGCGTTCCCCTGGTGCACGGCCGCCGTGAACACGATCATGCTCACGAGCCACGACGCGTAGAGCGCCGTCGCCCGGATCGCCCCGCTCAGTCCAGCCTCCAACAGCGTCGCGTATTTCCTGTAACGGGCCGAAGGGAATTACGAATTCCGAAATCTGCGCTTTTCTCTCTGCTCTGGGGATGTAACGATATCATATTGATATCCGAAATATATTATAATATTCGCTATATCCCATTGCACTTTGACTTGCCTCTCAGAGATGAGAAATCAACCAGCCATTTCGCTCTCCATTAATTGAGGTAAGGATTACGAAATAGGCTGCTCCAGTTCGTGGAGATCAAGTAACGTTTTCTTGGAATCCCTTCATCTCCCATCTATCCAAAGACTTTCTTTGAAGCCTGTCTCTTTCGTGATGTGCCACTCAAAAAAAGTGGAATATGTATTTTCTCAAATACATATTGCAAATTCATCGTTTCGTATCGTTTCTCGATATCGGCTCTTTAACCTGTTGAGGACTAGGTTTTTTGGCCATTGCAGTACCCCAGGGCCTGAGTATTTAAAAAAAAATGCAAATTTGATGTATGAGCAATATTAATGAATATATGCACTAATAAATATCCATTGAACTTCCTTAAAGTCCCAGAATTGATCCTTTTAAAATTTAAATACCTCATATGAGGCACGTAGTCCCCGCGCGCAAGACAACGTTCGGGCCTCACATGAGGCACGTCGCCCTCGACAGTTTAATACTGGACGCAAAAAATCGGCAATAGATATCGGTTTGAATATCGGTTCATCGAAACGCCAGTACTTCCCGATACCGTTACGTCCCGACGTTCGACCTCGGATTCGCGGGGAGACGCTCACCCGGTGTCCCTGTCGATGTGTTCGGCCCTGGTCTTGGACTCCTCCGTCTCGGGGTGGAGGAGCTTGGCGCAGGCGAGGGCGGCCGGGGCGGACATGAAGGAGGCCGACACCAGATGGGCGGCGGAGATCCCCAGCTCCACGAATGCGGCCAGCATCGGTCCTAGGGATCGCGAGAGTCAGCGGGGGCGTGAGGGTCGCGTGTGCGTGGTCGTTCGTCGTTCTCGGATTTCGGTTTCTGTTTTTAGCGGATGGATGGGCTCCGAAGGGGTGTAGCCCATTTGTGAGAATATCGATGGACGTTTATCGCGTCGCGTGTCTGTCTTTTAGGTTCGATGTGAGCGATGCCGGACCGTCCACGACGAGTGAAATGCATCTCCTTATTATTTTCTCTCGTTCACTTCATCGTTCGCAATAGGCAAGGCAACTTGTATAGACCTTTACTGATAACAGTTAGCTTATCTGGTCTCCGAACAATGACCTTCGGGATCCACAACAATCCGAGAGAAGTTAAACTAGATGAAAGGATTTATTTCCGGTGTTGCGAATGAGCCGTTGTTGACGATTTTCGCGAGTGCAACGTCCAAGCGCTTTGGGGAATCGGTAATATTGACAAAACTGGTGTCTTCCTACTGAATCAATTTTGCCTCTTTTCAGCTCACAGCTGAGAGATTTTTTTCAACGAAATCCCGAGAATCTGCAACGGAATGCGAGATGCTGCCACGGTCTCGCGTCCTTTTAGCTCCTGCGAAAATCAATTTACATAGTGAATTTTAAGCTCGGAGCCATTCCTACGCTCTCCAAGGACCTCATCGTCTGGAAAAGCCTGGAAAACGCTGAAATCCTGTTCCTTCGAGAGGCGTTTAGAAGTGAGATCTGGGATCGGGCAGGAGACGCGCTGACCTGCGACACTGGCGAGGCCGGAAACCACGACCACGTTCAACTCCGACNGGAGGAGGTTCGTGCCCTGGGACCAAACGCATCCGACCTCGATCGTGTTCGTGAGTGCCGATGAGACCGATCGGAGGAGCGAGAGGCGATGGGACCTACCTTCCGGGGATGCTTGGAGAGGAGCCATCCGACGAGGAGGAAGAAGAAGATGCCGGCGCCGGAGACCAGTCTCGAGGGTTCGTCCCATCCGTCCACGACGACGAAGGTGGAGACCCCTAGCATCACCAGGCAGTGGAAGCCGATACGAGCCCGTCTATAGGAATTGCGATGAAGTGAACCGTGGACAGTGCCCAGGAAATCCGAATGTCGCCATATGAAACACTGATTACCCTCCCTAATGAACATTTAAAACAACTGACTGATTGACATAAAAAAACTGATAATCCACCCTGTATTTGTGGCAAAATAAAAAAAAATTGTGACAATCGAACGTGTAAAATTGATCCCAAGGGGGGGGGGGTTATGACCCCCAAATCCCCCCCCCCCTTTGGGCACGCCACTGACCGTGGAAGCACTTCGATTCCGACATGTAGCATTCCACGGTATCGATTCTGCTGTCATTTTTCATCGCCGCCACATCAGATATTACAATGTATCATGATTCATCGATTTACGCACACTTTCTTGGGTTACCTGGTCCTTGCGAAGGCGCAGCAGCGAAGAACGACTGGACGGACGGCGACTTTCCTCCACGCGAGAGAAAGAACCCTCTTGAAGACGAACCGATGGAAGAGCCCGAGATAGACGACCCCCGTGACCCCGAGCAAGAGCCCCGGCCCCTCGCACGCCTCCCACTCCCTGGACCCGTTTCGGACGACGGCCCAGGCGAGATAGGCGTTGAAGAGGACGAAGGAGGTCCCGATGCCGAGCCTCCTCAGCGGCGTCCGGTTCCTCTCCTTCCATCCTCCGATCGCCGATCGGACCCAGAGGATGGGATGCCCGTTTCTCTCCTCCTCCTCTCGCTGCTGCGCGAGGAATGGGCGTCGGTTACCGACCTCGCTCCGCCGAACGGAGAGAAATCGCCTGGAGCATTAATTATCCCGACCGACCGAAAGACCTTCCCCCTCGTTGCCTATCCGTGATCCCGTTCGTTTCCCACACCTGTGCGTATCGTGAGACGCGTCGCGATCGCGACTCGAAATCGTACGAAGGCAGGAATTAAAATTTGAACCATTAGATGAATATGTAAGGCTGAAATTTGGTCTTCTCGAGGGATCGACGAACCACTCGATCGTTACGATGAACCGGCAACCCGATGCATTCCAGGTGATGACCGTGTGCCCGATGGTGTCCGATTCTGTAAACGTTTGTTCTTCCATCATTCTACTATCTTCGCTAGTTTTAGATGTTTTATCGTCCGTTTCGTGTGAAGAATTCCTGGGAGTCGGACGATCCACGCGAATCGACGGGAACGGATTCCCATCCGGTGGCGTCGACACGGAATTTTAAAACTGGTTCTCGCCACGAAGAGAATTTCGGGACTCGCCTTGTCGGAGTGCAGACGGGACGACGAAGGACTGGGATCCCCGAAGTCATCCACACGCTCCTCCATCACGGCTGGGCAAGGGGGAAAAGAGAGAGAAAGAGAGAGAGAGAGAGAGAGAGAGGGGGGGGGGGAGAGGTCTCGGTGTACATGTGCTGCGCCTGCACTGAGGGCTCCATCGGCCCCGAGGGGACTCCAGGAGGACGAGTCACACGGTTCGCACGTGTCGAGACGGCCGGAAACGAGAAGGCAGAGCTGCTTCCAAGCGATCTATATCGCTTTCAAACCACTATGCCATCCCCATCACTATATCGGCAGGCTCACCGACGGAGATCGGAAGAAGTAGAAGAAAGCGAGACCCATCCCTGGTTGCTTGCCTGACGTCATCGACGTGCCCAGACGTCACAGTAGCTAAGGTAGAAGCAACTACCGCGGGTATCACTTGAGGTTTTCACAGATGTCCAGATATGACTTACCAATTCCTTCCTAGAGGGGAGCCATCCGACCACAAAGTTCGTCGATGATTCACCTGCCCGACGAGGGGTATCCGTATCGGACAACCCTCATTAGTCTCGTCTGCTTGTCATGGTGCTGCAAGGGGACCTCGGCAGTACAACGAAATCGATTCCTTATAGCAGTGGTCGGCAGGCCCGCCCAGAGGGGGAGGGGGAGGAGGGGACGAACTGCCTCGGGTAAGGGCTATCACATTTCGGACGGGCAGAAAGAGGACGCCCAGCAGTCAGACGGAAATTTGAAGGTGAAAAGGAGGAAATGTCCTGGGAAATTCGGAAATATGCTAACTCCATCCCGGACCTTCAAATGAGACTCAATGCCTAAGTCTGAAAGGCCCCATCGAGTCCCATCCATACAGTGGCCTCCGGTTTAATGTTGTCACGGTCCTGTGGAAACCTCTGGGCCGGCAACTCAATTTCACGGGAGCCAGATGGCAGAATACTGCATGTTCGCGGGCCAATAAAATTAAAATTTGAATGAACGTCTCATGATTAGACATCGGGTTGGGTCTCGAGGTAGCCAGGCCTTCGCCGGCCAGAGAGAGGGCTTCCAAGGGCCGCCTGTTGCCTTATGGGGTCATCGTGGTCATCACCAAGGATATTTTCTTGCCGTTAGGTTTTGCAACCACAAAAGCCTGAGGATAATGACTTTGGTGCTTTCTTCCAGGTCAGTGACTGGGTTTTCTACTTGGTCTGCATCTCCCATGGTCAAACGGTAATTGCAGTGTTGCCCCTGCTGCATAACTTTGCTATGGTAAAACTCCCCTTCGTAACAGAAGCAGGGAATTACCCTCCCATGAGCTCCATTCAAATTGGAGTTTGAAGTAATGCTCCTCAATAAAAAAAAATAGGGAAGAAAGCACGATGAACTCTCAATATTTGTTGTATTTTCCATTCCTCCATTTCAGTCACTGAAACCATAATAAAATTATTATGTATTACAAAATCATATATTCACTTTTCAAAGTTTTTATATATTGAATCCTCAGATTGGGAATGTGGCACATATGGGATGAACCCCTGCATCTACAAACCTGGCAAGGAGGAACCGGTAGCAAGAACAAAAAGATGTGAGGCTCAGCACAAGGGATCATTACATCTTGGACTTGCATAATTTTCATTCACAAGCAGATGCAAGTACGAGAAGATCACGAAAATACGAATCCCGGTCGACCTCGTTCGAGTCTCTCGTCTCCCGTCTCACAGTTGCGACGTGACGCGAGATTCCATGTGTAAGCCCTGGGCGACATTGAGTGGGCTGGACGGGAAGACTCGGATGGGGAGATCCCAGACCATGGTCTCGATGTCCAGGTGTCGGGGTGCGGTCCAGGAACCCGGTTGGGTCAACTCCTCAGGTGGATGGAATGCCACCACCCCGGTGCGACTCACCACAAACTCGAAGTGAAGTTGCCACTCCAGGCTCACTGCCACAGCAAAAACAAAAAGACATAAATCCCCACCACCAATTCCTTCTGAACGAAGCCAGGTTAGAAATAATATTCACAGGGAGGACAAAGAAGGACAAAAAATTCAATTAAGTGCAACAAGGAAGTTAAGAAAAAATAAAGACCAAGACTTCTCTTCCATTTTTACTGTTCTTAGCTTCTTTGACTCTGGCTACCTCATAATGATGAATGATAGCTCAACTTCAAGATGCCCTTTCCCAAGTGCCAATATGCATGCAAGTGGTTATTACACCACTCTGGAAAGCCTGAACAACTCTCAGTTCAGGCCTGAATACTTAAATAAAATTTTCATGAAAATGTGCTTAATATTAAACAGATAAGAAAAAAGATTCCTAAGGAGCTAATGCATGGACTGGAAGCATCATGTTACCTTTTCACTGAATTGATAACAATTTCTTTATCAGAGGTATTATTGTGGTATTCCAAAAAAAAAAAGGAGGAAGGTGTCCCCATCCCTATAAAAGAAAATGCACTCCCAACACACAGTTGCATGATGAATTAAAAAAATTAAGGCTTTCTGAGTCTCATAAAAAAACTTGGCTAAGAAAGAGTCTCCTTTAAATGCTTTTTATGGCCCCAGCCAGAATTAAGCACTCATGCCTTTCATCCTTATAACTTCAATCTAAGAAGGCAATCAGAATGAAAGGGAATTCCAGTTCTGCACCACATTACATGAAAATAAGAGACCTAATGGAGAGAGAAGAGAGGAATTTTAATTCTCAGCCATACATTGGATAAATGACCTAAAAAGGCCTATCTGTGTGGGGGTTCCTCTTCAGGAATTCTACCACCCATAATATAAAAATAGGAATTAAATTTACAAAAAGAAAATGAAGGTTCATGCTTTTCCAAATATGGCTTTCAGTCCTTCTTCATTTACAAATCAAGTTCAGTGGAGGCTGAAAGAAATGCGGAAGTGACATGAAATGATGGGAGAACCTGAATGGAAAGCCCAGATGGGTCACTGCAGAGATTGGGAACCTTTTTGGCCATATGAGCCATATAAAGATTGAACTAAGTGCTAGTGAGGAATACATTTTTATAACAATTTAATTTTTCTTGACGTTGGCAACAGACGTATGCATTATTTGATTAATGAGAAAAATGAGAAACAACCATGATTTTCAGCCATGACTCAATGAGCCAAACTTTTCAGCTTGTGAGCCAAATTTGGCTCATGAGCCATAGGTTCCCGACCCCTGGGTCACTGTCACTATGTACTGTCCAACATTAAATTCTAATATGCAAACTGTTTTCAGAACTTCTCATGTCTCCAATGAATTTCTGGTGCTCAGTGCATTTCCATTCAAAGACAAATCTAAATTCTATTCTCTCCCACCATGGCCTTATCCTTTCAGCTACGGCAAAGGGAAGGGACTTTGAAAGAGAAAGTGACATGAAGAGAAGGACTAGTGGGCAAAAGAAGGGTTTAAATGAGATTTTTTAGCACTTGAGGCTTTCATGTCTTCCACCCATTTAAAATTTATTTAATGCAATGGAAGATGCTCCTCTAAAACATGAATGAAATAAATCCAGTAGATTATTTTACATAAAAACTAATATAGTAATCCAATATGACAACAAATTATGTATTAAAATAAAATAAAAAAAACCATGTCAGAATACTAGTTACAACAGCAACAGGCCTAGAAAAGCATATCCCTGACATCAACCATGGCCAGCTCAAAATGATGATTGAAATACAAAGGAGAATAGACTGAAGAAAGATGGGGAACTGACCAAGATCTGTATGGAAGGATGGAGTGACATGGAGAGGGATGGGGAGGATCACTTGAGTTTGTTCAATAGACAGACAGTGTTCATGAAATTTGTTGTATGAGACCACCACTGGTGCCTGGTCCTTCTTCCACCAACACCTTTCATCTAAGCGCTCTACACTTTGCAGCGTCACAAGGAACTGGATGGAAATACAGATTCTTCCAAGTTAATAAAGGACACAAAGAAGGTATGATAATTTTTTTTTTTTTTACAGATGTTTGCTTAAAAGAATATTCTCATTTGTTAAAAGTTAAGAAACTCTGGGACCTTCAGTCTTCCATGGAAGTAAATAAAGGGTGCTCTACAGGATTTAATCTTCCATGCAGTCCTCACAGAGGAAAGTAGCAGTCAAATCACATTACAGGGGATTGTTATGAAGATATGTGACTATCATTAGCAGATGATCAAATATAACTGAAAATGATTTATTGGATATGAAATTGAATTAAACCAGATGCCAACAAGCAGTACCATTGAATCATGTTGTGTCAGCAAAATTCCCATGAAAAAACTTCCTGGAGCATTGAATTGTGTCCCAACAAATTTGGCACCACTCTACAACATAGTGATGAGTAAAAAGTCATAGCTCAATGCATATTTAATTTTGAGCAGTGAAAATCTGCCGATTGTTAAAGAGTTTTACCTGTCATGATGAACAGATGAGCTTAGCCCTGAATATACAGCAAAATATGGAAGAGCACCTTTGAGTAAAAAAAAAAAAAGAAGACAAAATTGGAATGTAACAGTTTGTAGATACAGAAAAACCAACTATGAATAGATAGCTCAATTGGAGAGTAACTTGTAGGAAGGGCAAATTGGTGTTCATATGATTAGAAAGGTCATCTTTGATCAAATCATGGGAACTAGTCAGCCAGCTCACCTGAACACATGGGACTTGAGCTGTAGTGAAGTCAAAAGTCCCAATGATATCTTCTCCAAGTTTATATCCCATCTTGAAAAGACAGAACTTCCCAACTCTGCCTTCTGTATGTGTCACATTATAGGGGCTTGGACTTCTTCTTACAGTTGCATTCTACACAAATGGAAACATATGCCTAGAAGTGCTAGTTTCACAATATAAATAAAGTGATGCATAAAATAAAAATAATGAGCCCCTAAAAGAGACAACTTTTACACGAAAGAAGATTGAGCAACCAGACCTGAAGGATCTGCATGGCCACTTCAAGAGGCGACTCCTTGTGGGAGGAGGAGAGGAAGGGATTAGATGGGGCAACTCGATCGCTCTCACTCTCAAAACCCATCTCTGGCATCAACCCTGTCATTGCAAGCATGTAAGAGAATGCAATCAACTCCTGCCAGTCCTCATCACCAATTACTGGAGAGAGATCTGATACATGTTTCTGAATAGGAACCTTGGAGGAGGAGAACCCGGAGAGGGATGCGGACGAGTCGAATGGGAGAACCGACTCGTTGGGTGCCAATGGTCAACTTGTACCAATATCGTATAACTGGTCCTCGATATGATGGTGGTCCATTTGAGGGCAATTGCTCCTGATAAATATCTGGTGGAAGGAGAGGCATAAGAGTAATGTGGCACAAAATTCACAACCCAATACCCAAGTGCCAAAAAAGGGTGTTCCCTTGGAATTTGGAGTGATGTCATCACTATTTACCTCCAAGAATGCAATTTCTTTCAATGTATAAAGACAGAAGCAAGATGAGCCCAGCCCAAAAGTGGCTCTATTTAGTTAACCCTATCCAGGTTAACTAAATAGAGGCTTCACTTTGAAAGAAAAGCTCTCAACCCTCTTTGTTCCTACTCTCTTGATTGGGTTCCCTTGGATGAGTCTATCTAAGAAAGTAATATTCAGGTCAGTACAAAGGCCCGCAGTTATGGTATTTGGTAATAAGGTCTGTATCATTCAAGGTATGGGATTGTTGAACTGAGAGGAAATTGTAAAATGTTCACAATATCTAGCATAGGCTCAAAAGTAGTTCTGCTCAATACTATGATATGAAGACTCTCTCCAGTGATTTTTGACTGATTTCACCACCTCAACCCACTCTCTGAATGGAACCATTTCATGTAACTTGAGCAACCCCTGCCTCTACCATAGTAAGGAAGGGGGGGGGGGGGAGTATTAATTCACTTCACAATGTTCCATACAATTTTCCAAAAGCACCATCAGACCATATGGCCAATCCATAGGCTTGATTGACTATATACTGTTCCTGTGGCAATAAAAAAGGGTTATACACCCTCCAAGAGTTGAACATTAGAGACTGTAGAAGAAGAGATAAGAAGCTGATAGCTGAGGAACTCACATGACTTGGATTCCCCGGGAAAGAGACAGAGGTCACAGCAGAGAATCTTTGGTTTTGTTGCAACAATAACTTGCCCCCTCTCTCCATGATGAGGTACAAATGATGTAGCTGCAAGAAATATTTAAAAAATGAATTCAGGAATCCCACAGGATAAATGGGATATCAGAATTTCACCTCATACCAGAAGTGTCATGTCATGTGAATGGAACTCAACCATTCAGAGTGAAGCCATATTAGGTAACTTTCCCTTCTGGAGTCCATTATAAATCAAATCTGTTTCCTTGAAGCCAAGATATCAGAGTTAAGCATCCCAGCAACTAGTTGCAAGTGAAAATTTAGTATATCCTGTAGAAAGTTATAAAAAAAGTGAGAACCTAGACACAAGAAATAAGTGCAGATGTCTCATTGACTGGATGATCACCAAGTCTGACTGAACATCAACAGCCACATGTGCCATTAACAGGGAATACAGGAGCAAGAAGAATCTGCTATAGCTTTTAATGGCTGAAGGTGCTCAATCCAGGAGTAGTGCATGGCAACAGTAGATATAACAGTTATGATGATAAATATATACAATCTATGCCAATGTGCTCCAGCATCTGGTGCACTAAACAGGGCACATCAATAAAGCAAGTTAGGAGGTGGAGCCTAACATTAAATCCATATCTCAATACCAAATTTGAACTCAGCCTCTTGTGTTAACTTGACAGATGTTTCAGCATTTTGTAGTGGTGTAACACCTGGATCAACACAAAATAACATCTTAATTCAAGTTCAATCTTAGCATCAGAAGAGTTCACACTTTCTCACTGTTAGTACAATTACCCTGACTTGAACTGGCAAAAAGAAAAGAAGCTTGTCAACTATGATTGTGACTTAACTAACTGACATCTGATGCTGACATTTTCAAGTTGTCATGCCTATTAAGACTTCATCATTAGGGATTAGACCAATCCCTGGAGATTAACATCTTTAAAATCGGCATTAGAAGTTTAAGAGAAACAGGCAGGACAGATAGCAGCAGTAAGAGAGTCAGATTATCAGGCGTTTTGGGCTTTCCTTCAACTGTTCTGTCCTGCAGAGCTTCTGAGAGTAAGATTTCTTATTGGAGCATTCCCTACATGGTCTCAGAAATAATGAAGACATGGGTAATATCATTCACCCAAATACACGATAAAGCAATAACCATACCTGCATTGGAAGTGAGTTTTTCCTTCATAGGGCCAGAGCCAGGTGAGGATGGGTCTAGAAGAATGGCTTTCCCATCATCCCTTGCAACCATGCAATGGATCTGGACACTTGACCATGCCAGTATTTCTGGACTACCACCACCATCATCATCTTCTCCTCCTCCTCTACTGATGAAAAGGTGAAGGGCCACTCAATTTGAATAAGTACTCTTCACTGCTTCTTAGATACAAGATGAGCCAATATTTTCCCCCCCACATTTTCACTGCATTCAATTTTTCCATCTACTATGTACTTTAGCCAGAATTAATTTATTATGCTTACCTACAAGTGATATGCATTATGCCCATGTATGATCTCACACAAAACCCACCTCATATCAAGAGAATACAATAAGTTACTAAGATCAGACTTCCAAAAACTAAGTAAGGTCTTACTCTACTAAAAATTAGCAGGAGTGGGATACATTTCTCTCATGTGCTTTTCCTTGAGTCAAAACACTTGAGTACACATGTAAATGCAGGAAAGGCGGACCTTTAGGTGAGTGAGGCTCATACTGTCTGCCCCTTGCATCCCAGGGTCATATGAATTTGGTAATTCAAAGCATAGATAAGTATTCTCTTAAAAGAATTAGGAAAGTGAGAGAATCACTGCACTAAATCCCAAGAAACATTGCTAGGATGTACGTTTTTCACTAGTTGCCTCCCACAGAAATCCTTTAGATTTCTTATGGGTATATTCCAGTAAAACCTTCAAGTTCAGTCATATTTATATCAAATGGAAACATATAACGATGAACTAGTTCCTGGGATATCCCAATACATGTAACACTGCTTCAGGGGTTGGATCTGTAAAACAAGTGAGAAGCTCAATTGACTTTTCAAACTTACTTTGAAGAGTAAGTCAGAACTCTTGAACCCGTCGTCTTACAATACGTCGTGAGTTGTCAGAGAGGTCGGTTTATTTGACCTGGTGCTTCATCCAGTCGTCTATAAAGATAATGGTAGACTTATTACTACTCTTTTACCGTTATACCCATGTATGACAAATGTTCATCAAAGACAAGGACAGATAATAAACTGGAATTCAATATGTATTGCATATTTGGTGGGGCTTGAACTAGAGGCACACGTCAACATCAACAACAGCTTTAGGTTAAAATTAACCTGATAGTTTAGCCCAAACCCACTACAGAGAAACCAGTGTTGCATAGGCAATATTGAAGAGGGTTACTGTGCTTGGGATGTCAAAGCCAACTCTCAATTAAATTTGGAATGAATCAAAATGATCCTCCAGCATCACAAAAGGGGTTGAATTGATAGGTCAAGAGCACTAAAAATGGCCAACTTGTATTGAAAGAGTTTGTGTCAATGCCAAGAAGCCTGGAGCGTGGAGCCTGCTAAGTTCAAGATCAATTTAGGCTAGGGACCACATGTTACATGACCTAATGAAAATGAATGTATTTTTTCTTTCTGAGAGATTACCTAATTTTCTCAGAGCTAATCCTGGTAAGTCTGCTTTGACCATCTGTATTTTCATCCTTTTCTGGGAAATCAGAAGAGGAGAAAAAGATGCTTTTAGCTTAATGTAAAAAAGTGGAGCCATAAAAATCAATCAAATGAAGAATGCTATATGGTGGTGGTTGACTAGAAATATATAAGTTAAAGGGATAAAACATGCAATACATATGAGAACTTAGAAAAAGTCAATCAGATGGAAGAAAACATTCAACTGCAGACAGAGGATACTGCCCAGGACCATTTCTGTCAGGTCTCCTTCCCTGAATGTCTTGAGAGCGAGAGAGAGAGAGAGAGAAAAGGGAAAGGTTGCAGTTGTCACACAATAAGTGTTTGCAATGTGGAACCCTTACATCAATGTATTGAATGGATTTTGGGTAGAAGGTAGGATACTGATGTGCTCTTCTCCAGAACAGCTAAAACTTTAAATGAAAACGATTCATGATCATTTTCATAAGATGGACCTTGGAATCTCCTTCAGCCCAAGACTTTAAAAATCAGTCCGTGATAAACAAGAGAAGCAAACCAGGGATATCGTACACCTGAATACTAAAGGGAAAGCGTGTTCTTATCAAGCATGAGACTGGTCATCCCATTCAACTGTGACGCATGAGATCGTTTTAATGCAGAAGAGGAGCAATTATAAGCCGAATCCAAAGTGTTCCTTTTCGCAATTGTCTTCCGCTTCTCCTAACCCTCATCCTTTGAACGACCTAGGCTAAGCTCCTAGCGGCGAACGGTAGGCTCATGCTCACCGACCGTGGAATTTTATACCTCAGTTGGAAGTCATCAGACACCTGAGCCATCAGATACCATCAGATACCTTATTATGCTCGCCGATCACCTATTTATATTACCAACTGCATCCCAGCTTCTCCTCAGGCTAAAATAAAATAATCCAGGACAGACTTTCAGACACGTGTCATGACGGGCTGGGCGTGGCCATTGTTTTCATTCTTGAACATTCGGTACCGTTCTCTTTCGTTTCTTGAGCCCGTTTCGTTTATTTGGCGAACTTTGAAAAGTTAAGTATTCAACTGATTTTCCCAATGTGTTATATCTTTTTTAATGCTCACATTACAATTTTATCCAAGAAGAAAATGCTTTCGGAGCTGAATTTAGTCAACGTCGAAAACCAATACCTGGTGCGATGATTCTTATCACCACGTGGTTTGCGTGCTCGTGGCGAGGATCGTACTCATAGCTTGTCCGATATAGGACTTTACTCTCTGACGTTGGACCTATGTTGTGTTCGTTTGTAAAAATAGCCTAATTCGAACGAAACATGGAGGAGAGTGGGGTTATTTGTGCCTCCCCAGAGTGTGAGCGTTTACTGAGAAACGCTTTGAAGCTCCTGAACCAGATGTCCTGGATTCTTGATTCCTTCATGGTGGTGAGGAAGATTTTGAGCACTACCTCCTGGCCTAGACTTAAATGAATGATATTCTGAGAGGAACTGCATAGGCTGGAGGAAGGAATGAGACAGTAAGGAAAGAGAGGTATCATGCTAAGATGTGTTCTTTGAATGCTTTTTTTTTTCCATTGCACATTAACTTAGTGCATAGTCGTAAGATCACATTTTTATGAATTAGGAATAATGCAGAAGAAAACTTTATGAATTATGAATCGCTTGCACAATAAAGTAGCAAATTAGTAAAAAAAACTTGGAACATTATAGGAAAACTTGAAAATGCTCTATTTTTAAAATGCCCACTCTGTGTTCTAGCATAGGCCCTACAGAGAATTGCAACCAATCGATATAAAATGCAAAATTTCATGCAATTTGCATAATTGTCTTTCCAGATTTTTCATAAACTATGGGGCAAATTCTGATTGCAAGAACTCATTATGCATGTGATTATGCTATGGCAGCTTCAGTGAGATTCTATTACTATATTCTGCTATACGTAAGGTGAATTGCTCAAGAAAACAAATTTAAGGTATTAGGTTTACTAAAAGTTTTCCTTCTCATGAAAAATCCAATGGAAATTCTAAATTATTGTGTTCTTCTATTCTTTACAATATTGGAAGTCTAGACAAAGAGCATCTAAACCAGGGCAACCAAGGGTGAACCTTCAGCTTGCATGGGAGCCTGAAGTTTCAACCTGACAAACAGACCATCTCAATTTCTTTCTTATATCTTCATTGTTTTATGTAATGTTATTCTAATTCTTTTTGGTGCAGGACATCAATATCATTTACCTCAGCAGTTGAATTACAAGCAAAAGGGCATGCCTATGGTTTGTTAATCCTCTGCTTATGGAGTAGCTTGAGATGGGAAGCTTCATCAGTGCTATGTTGCAGGACTTTTTTGTGGAGCGACACTGGGAGAGGCTTCCACTTGCATGGCAGAAGGCATTGAGGTGTTGTGATGCAGAGGATCTCATCGTCTTGTTGGACAGAAGGCAGCATGAACCACAGCCCAGGGAGGATGGGGAGAAGAAACTCATCCTTCCGTTATCCCTCTTATCTCTGAGGGCTGCTGCTTTCTCTTGCACCTTGCAAAGAGATCCTATGCCCATCTTCAAGCCCCTTTTGAATTTTCTTCTTTTCCCAGAATATATGGTGAGCTTTTCTGAGCTATCAGTATCTTATGACTGTGCATTCTTTTATGGTTTAGACACTGCCAATTTATGAAACACATTTTGAATATCTGCAAGGTCTGGTACCCAGTCTGGTAGTCTTTTGTAATGCAATCATTCTTGAAGATATACCTGCTTCCTCTTATTTGCCATCTCACAGTGCTAGATTTCAAGGTACATGATTTTACAAATCATCTAATGAGTGACTTTCTGTAGAAATGTCAAGCCTTAGAAGAGTTGCAAATTAGAACTTGATACTAGGTTTCTGTTAAATGGATCTAAGAGAGAGTCATTTGGAGTTCCATAGCAGGAATTGGCCAGTGTATCTAAGCCCAATTCCATTGGCTAATGCCTGTTCTGATACCAGTTGTGAAAGCACTGATCTAAGTCAGAGAGACCCCATCTTGCTTATCACTAGTATTGAGACTTTGCTCAAAGAGGTCAGCAGTATGGCCTTCAAGAAGAGAGGGTTATCATAGCACTCAGTATCATTAATTATATGGATATCTAGAATGATGGCCTGGTTCCTAATGTCTGGGGGCCATTTGTCAAGGAATAATCATGTATGCATGGTTTCATTAGAGATAAGTACATATGATAAAATATGGACATATATGGGAAGATGTATCTGATCATATTTTATTGAAACAATGGAATCATTGTGGCTTTGGTATGATTCCAGCATGGAGAAATGGAAGGTGATTGGGTTGTGTCTTCTTCTGAAGCTCTGACAAGAGGTCAAGGACAATTACGTGCCTTAGACCCTCTCTTCAGGAGGCACGTGAAGCCAAAGAAACAGCATGAGGTATACCGTATGGCCTTGGTGAGTCTCATGATGTGTGAGTTTCTGGCGAACTCTCCTTACATTTCGTTAGATGATGTTCTGAATAACATTTATTTTTGTTGGTCTTGAAGGTCGTTGGGAAAGTGATGGAGGCAGTTGGAGTCCAGCATGTAGTTGATGTTGGGGCCGGACAAGGGCACTTGGCAAGGTTCCTTGCCTATCAGCATCAGTTCAAGATGTCATGCCTTGATGTGGACAGCCAACATGGTCTTAGTGCAAAGTGAGTCTTACTCCCACATCATATTGCTGGTTTTGTTTTTGTGATTATGTGAGGAAACTTCTATTTTGGCTTGCTATTGCTGGGCCTTTTTGGTTTGTGCTGTTTCTGTGTGAGCCATGCTTTTAGCCTTTTGTTTGCATTCAGAATCTCAAGCTTTTCTTCAAGAAAATGTATATAATAATCACTTAGAAAATGCTCAAAATAGCTGCTCTTTGGATTCATTTTTGTAACACCACATCAAAATGTCAGTGTGCACTCATCATTCTTCCTTTATGGAAGGAGAAATTTGCTTTCTGCAATGGGGTAAAGTTGAGGTTTCCTTCAGACATTTCAATTTCTCAGGTTCATGGTATGTATACTATGTTTTTCAAGTCATTAGCAAATTTAAATAAATATATAACCTGATGTGTAATTGCAGTTTAACAATTCTATTGGAGTGTGATAGTATATCTCTTAATGTTTTTTAACATTACTTTAAAGCCCATATTGGCAAGGTTTTGGTTCTCGCATTTTGTCAAATAAAATTGCACAATATGTTGAAACTTATTTTCCTGCCTTTGGATAGATTCTTGCATTCAGATGTCCATATGTCTGTTACTTACAAGGTGTGGCTAAAAAGAAACGAGAATAAAAGAATTTTTAAAATTCTTTTAAATGCAACAATTTCAATGTTTATCCCCTTCAAAGTATTCTCTGGCCGTGCCTATGCAGCGCTCCATTCACGATTTCCAGGATCTAAAACAACAGCGGAAGTCCTCAGAAGATACCGCCTTTAATTGCTGTGTAGTGTTCTTTATGAATGTCTGCTAAGTCCTCAAATCGTTTCCCTTTGAGGTGGATTTTAATTTTTGGGAACAGAAAGAAGTCGCATGGCGCCAGATCTGGCGAATAAGGCACGTGCTCTGATGTTACGATCTTGTTTTTCATTAAAAACTCTCTCACTGTGATGGAGGAATGACGCGGTGCATTGGCATGGTGCAAAAACCATTTGTCCGGCCACAAATTGGGCCATGTCTTTCTAATTTTTTCACATAGTCTTCCTGAAATCTCAATGTAGAGTGTCTGATTAACAGTCTGATTCGGCGGGACAAATTCATGATGAACAACACCACGACAATCAAAGAAAACGACAAGCATGGACTTGATCTTCTATCAAGACATTTTTGCTTTCTTTAAATGGGGTGAAGAGGGAGTTTGCCGCTGCATGCTTTCATGCTTGGTTTGTGGATCATACTGAAACCATTTTTACCGAGTTTCACTAAAAATATAATTACAATTCTTTGTTCTAAAGTACAATCACTCATTTTTCCGCTGAAGGGTCACAATACGGATTCACTTCAAGAGGCACAGCTCAATCAAAACTTAACTGATTGCAATGATACAAAAACTGATGTGTACAGGTAGAAACAAGTTACAGCACGATATGAATGTTGTTGACATGCACAATACTAAGGCATTGGTAAGCAATGATTCTCATTTTTTTCAGCCACACCTTGTACTTCATGAAGTGATATCCATGATGGTCCTTTCAATGTTCTGATTAATTCCCGAGAATATAGTTCTCATTGTATTTTGGGGCTTATTTGTGTATAAGTATGACCTCTAAGGAACCCCTAAAGCCAAAAATAATTAGCAGGGGCACAAGTGTTATTGACCCATTTGGTTTGAGGATGAGAATGAATAAGCAATAACTGTGCATGGGAAGTGCTACCTGTTTATGGGGAGGCTGGCTTCCCTGAAGAGCAAAATGCAGCAAGGCTTGGAATCTTCTACAACTGAAGCAAGTTGGAACTACCCCTCTCTCAGCAAAAACCTGGAGTGGCTTCATGGCCATTTTGATCATTATGTGATGCTACTGTAATGTGACTTTCCTTTGGATTGTAAAAGGACCATCATAGATAGAATACGAAAAAAATTCATTTGGATCATTGAAAATGTAGCTATTGAATGCAGTAGTGCAGGGGTGTCCAAAATGTGCTTGCAAGCCACATGTGGTTCCTGGGTAGTTCAAGTGTGGCTTGTGGTGAAAGGATATAGACTCTAGTCATGAAAATGCATGTGTAAAGTGGTGTGTGTCTTGTGGCTCTTGGCCAACTGAAGATTTTGTCATGCAGCTGTAAGGTCAGGAAGATTGGCCACCTTTCCTCTAGGGCATCAATGTTTAGGTGGTTATTTTGAGGTTAATGTTTGACTTCTATTAACAAATTGACTAAATTAAAAAATGTTAAAATACAATTCTCTGTTGTTAAAAATTATAGACACTGCTTCAGTTCTATCGTTTCCTATGGGAGAAACAGTTTCATAAATGTAGCAAAAAAATTATATTGGATACACAATTGATATTTGACAGTTATAAGGTGTTAAAATGTTTGCCAGCTTTTTTCAGCACCCCTGCCTAAGTTGTACAATGCCCATTTAAAGGTGAATTAAAGGTAATTAGAGATGGATCATTCCACCTCAAGTGAGTTGATTGCATGTGCTTGACTGTTTCAGAATTCAATGAATTTCTCAATTTGAACTTTTCAAGGGATGATTGGATCCAGCCGATACTTGACAGAGAGGTTCATGAGTCTCAGGTGTTTTTTTTTTTCACTTCTGCAAGATGGCACTGTATCCTGATAGAGGGTGCTGCTGTAGGCTGGATGACTGAGGGTCACTTAAAAAAAATGTTTAATGCTCCACCTGTGCTGTGTAACAGGACAACACAGTGCTCAGAGATTTGTTCAGAAAAAAATGTAATCTTTTCAACACCTCCTATGTGTCCAATATCAAGAGTTCATGAATCTCATATTTTTTACTTGAATGTATGTATCATACTTTCTCCCCATTGAAAACGGTGGGGCTTTCTTTAAAATCACCCGGTCAAAAGCAGCGCCTCTATTGGGATACAGCGCCATCTTGTGGTAGTGAAAAAAAACACCCTTAGAATCATGAACTTCTTTGTCAAATATCAGCTGGATCCAATTGTCCCTTGAAAATTTAAAATAGAAAAATTAATTGAATTCTGAGATGGTCAAGCACAGGTAATCACCCCACTTGAGGTGGAATGATCCATCTCTATGCACCTTTAATTCACCTCTGAGTGGGCATTGCAGGACTTAGGCAGGGGTGCTCAAAAAACGCCAGCAAGCATTTCAACACCTTGTAACTGTCAAATATCAATCACATATTGAATTAAATTTTTTTGCTACATTCATGAAATTGTGTTTCTCCCAAAGAAAATGGTAGAGTGTTTTTTTTTACCACCCTATATTTCTCCTTTTCATCACTTCTGCAAGGAGCTGCTGTGCTTCCACATTTAGTGTTACCCTTGCCTGATCCATCTTATCTGATGAGTGCAAAATAGGAAATTCCATGTATTCCTGCATCTCATTGATAAAATACATGCAGGGAACAAATTCTGACATGACACCTGTGAGTTCCATTCTCACCTTGCATGTGATAGTGTGTGCTAATGCTGAATTATTAATCCATATTTAACCTATGTTTTATATTTATTTCTTCTGTGTGAAAAAGTTTTATGAAGAAGTTTGATAATTTTTTGGAGTATTAAGCTTTTGCATTCATACTATTCATTTTGGACAGCCATGGCTCAAATCCAGCAATCCCATTTTTGAGAGCTAGTGCCTTTCTTCAAATGGTAACAGACCTTGCAGATAAAACAGAAACTTTTTTGCACTTCATGGCAAAAAGTCTTCAGCAAAAGTCCTCAATTTCTAATGCTGAGGTTGATATATGTAAACATCTTAACATATATGGATGACTCATCTGAAATTATAATCATAAACTCAAGCTAGAAGGACTGCTCATGAGATCACATTGGTTCCCATTGCAGACACTACCCTCCTTTTTATGACCTATTGCCACAAGCTGAGGAGATGATGTCTTGAAGGAAATGTTCTGGATCCCTGTTTTCCATTTTAGAACCTAGTCCATGAGGAGAATGTGGGCTTGATTGGACTTCATGCCTGTGGAGACTTGGGTCCTGCCATGTTACAAACTTTCATTGCCACCCCTCACATCTCTGCAGTCTCTTTAGTAGGGTGCTGCTACATGAAGGCCACCGAAGCCAATTGTGATAAGTATGCAAGAGCCTATCCCTTTTAGCTGGACCAGCTGTACATCAAAGACTGCCCTGGATGAACTGAAATTTGATGCTCCCCAGTCCTTCCCCAGAGTCATGGTCTTAGTGAAGTTTTTGGTGGAATATCTTGACTTTTAAAAATTATAGTGAAATGGCTACAATAACTTCGTCATGCTTTCTTTTTACAGTAAGCATACCTCTTTTGCCATCAGCAAGCGTACAGGGTGTTTGTATTTAAATGCAACATAGGGAATATTTTGCTGCCTGTAGGTGGAGGTAGGTGAATGCTATAAGGCCCTCTGGGTTGCTTATCTACAAAGAAAACACCCCTGGGTTGCTTATCTGCAAAGAAAACACCCCAGTTATAGGTTTCAACCTTCCGGATATGCAACCCAGTTAGCCATAAGGCACCCGCTGAACTCCACAAGCAGGCAGCAAACATTTCCCTATGTTGAATTTAAATACATCACCCTGCACTTTGATTTGACAATATATTAATAGTTGCATAAAAGCCCCCTTTTGTGTGCCTATCAAATTTTGTCACCTGGTGCAGTTGCATGTGTACATAGCTGGCCCTGCTTTAGGACCCATACCTCCATAGCTTACCTATATAAGTTTTGCATGTGTTCCTCCTGCTGATCTGTTTGCAGAGAAGTCATCTCTTCTTGCTTTGGATACCCCTTGAGCAAGTTTGTACAGAACTTTCCAAGTCACAGTCTGGGATATGAATGTCGTGAGCTGGCTTGCCATGCCAAGGAAATGTACATTCATCGTCTCACTGACCCTGCAGAGTATGACAAGCTGAAGGTATGTTCACAATTGTGTGCAACATTCCCAGTTAGTATTTGTCTCCCCCATGAATTATACTCTGAACCACTACTTTGCCATGGAGAGTAAGTCTAAACCAAGTGCCAAAATTTCATATTGCATTACATCTCACTATGGGAGTGGGCCCACAAAGATGCTGTTATCCATAAAGCTCATGACAGCCATCCTGCATTCTCTATTCAATAGTTTGTGCATGACTTAAAAAAAAAATGGAAGAGATGGACTAAAATAAATAATTCATTTACCATTGTTCTGTTACTGGAACTATTTGAATACAATGAGTGTATGTGAAAAAATGCTTTTCTGATCATAGGAAGAAAATATTTATATAGGTTTTCTAAGTGAAATGCAACAGGTAAACACAGTATACCATACCCATGTTTGGGGGATGTCTTCTTGTTGTATTCTCCCAATGTGCAGCTTCAGGTTTATTAGCATATAGTGCTCCTTTTGCAACTAATATTAATTGGCAATTATTGATATGTCATGTTTAGTCCTAGGAATTTGCTACCTCCATTCTGCTTTACTGCAGTGAAATTAGCCAGGAAATGTCCATGATAAATGACTTTTAATCTAAAAAAAACTTCATTTTATTGAGGTTTTTATTGCTGGAGTCAATTTGACCCCATGATACTGGTTACACAATGAAAAAAAAAAACATGGATACCAGTAGAAGGTTAGGAAAGCCCCACATCTTCCTTTCAGTTTTTTCACATGAGATGTCTGTCCTTCCACCCCAAATGGTTGGTGGTAGAATATTCCAATGACTCTTTTGGCATTCCTCATTTGCATGAGGAGCATCTCATGCAAATGCACCTGAAGCTGCACATTGTGATAATGCAACAAGAAGGCACTCCCCCTAACACAGATATAGTATGTGTTGTGTATATGTTCCTTTTGACTTATCTTGTCATATCAAATATGCTTTTCCTTAAAATGCTACGTGCAGCACAGTGACACAATTGACTTTCCTTGTTGCATTTGACATAGAAAATATATATTCTATTTCATGTGTTATTGAAGGTGCTTATGAAACACAAGAGCATCATATGCTGTGGCTTCTGTCATGCAATAGTCACTTGATCAGTTTTGAAAAACCCTTGACTACATAATCCATATGTATTCCATCCCAGCTTACAGAATTATAGGAACTTACAATCAGCCAACAGGGACAATATTGCTTTTTGTCCATAAAGTTAACTCCCCCAAACATTCCCCATGGATGCCCATGAAATATGAACATTTCACATGAACTTATAGATTAAGATCTTGTGTTCAAACATCGATGGTAGTGAAATTTATGCCAAAAGGAATTGAAATGTGATGAAATTTATGTGCATCTTGAGTGCAAAGCAAAGTTTCAGCATTCAAAGCACCATTCACACATTATTGAAGTCAATGAAAAATTGCTGTTTCATTGCAATGAATCTGTGCATGTCATGGAAAACAGTAGAAAGTGAGATTGGTAGTCATTGTAGGTCATCCATAGGTATCCTAGCCATTGCCATTTTCAGTTCCATTGGTTATAATAATGTGTTTCCTATCCAGATTCATTGCTACAGGGCAGCTTTGGAAAGAATAATCGTGAGACATTGGCCAGAACTGAAGCGCTCTGGTTTGCGAAGCCTCAAAAAAGCCCACAAGAAGCCTTTCCCACTGTAAGTAGTATCTATCATCCACCATGCTATTGTCATGGCACTGTTTCACTGTTACCAATCAATTTGCCTTTTTGCCTGAAAGAAGTAGTGAAATTCGTATTAAAGTGAGCTTCATTTCAGCAATCCTTGTGTGACACCTGTATATGTTTTATATATTGTTAAAATTTTTCACTTGGTCTGTTCAGTGGCACACGTGGTTTTAGCATGCTTCCATGAGTGTTAGGTATAGATCTGGAAATTGGATAGGTATGGATGGACTCAGCTAAACCACCCCAGGCATTACAGACTGATCATATGCTGAAGTCATGTGTTGAGTATGTAAACATGGGAGAAATTCAGCTAGACTGAGTCAGTGCTTAGTCCTGGCTATGAATTGGTTATTGAGATCATCATATTGTTGTGTATTTCAGCTTCTTGTCAGCAAATATTCTGAAGGAATAGAGCCTAATATTTTGCCTTTTTCATTAGTCTAAAAAACCTGACTGTTCTGACTTATAAATTCTGACCATTACTATTTTGAAAATAGTAGATGTTGAGGGTATTTGAATGCTTTGATTTTTTCATTCATCTGGGACCCATTGTCAAAAATATGTTGTGCAAGTGCAAGGTTTTCAAAATCTATTTGGGCCTATTCATCTTTCTAAGACAATATTAAGCTATGTTCAGACAAACACACTCAAAATAAACTACTTTCTCTCTTGTGCAACATATTTTGAATAATATAACTATAGAACTATGACTATGTATGTCATTTGGGTTTTCTCAAGACATTTTTGCCATAAAGTGTTATTTGCCGGGATCTTTAATTTTTTTCTGCATGCGTCTCAAAAGGAAGAACTTCTTGAATGTTGAGATGTGGTGGTTTTATCTTAAGGTATGCAAGGGAAGCAGTGAAGAAGTTGAAGTTCGTTCTGCCTGAGGAAGAGCTTGTTGGAATCAAAGTTGAGGAAGATCTGTGTCGATGGAAGGATGTGACTGCATTTTATTGCCTTAGGCTCCTCTTGGCCCCTGTTGCCGAGTCTGTCATCCTCCTCGACAGATTATTCTATCTCCATGAGAATGGTGAGCTTCCTCTCATGAAACCTTTTTTGTTGGTTACTGTCAGGGGTAGTTACAGATCTCTCTGGATGTCCTCCCTTGTGCTGCATGTCTTTTGTCTGGTGTATGGAGTAGCCTGGAAATGTCTCCTCATGGACTTGGTAATAGAGTTGGGATCCATGGGATGCAAAGCATGGCAAGAATTATAAAAAAAAAAGCTAGGTAAATTCAGTCACATTGTGACCCTTCTTTGTAAATGTATGGGAAACACGAATGTCTGTAGGCCCAACAAAGGAATGTTGATTGGAGAAGAGATTAACATGTATGGTTGACAGGTGTGGCATTTCATGAACTTGACTTGCAACTCTGTCCCCACTAACTTATGTGCCCTTGTCCTTAACTGTCAAATATGCATAGAAGCTTTGAAGGCTGGAGGGGAATAGACAGCTGAGATTGTTTAAAGAGGATATATTGAATAACAGATTGAGAAAATTTTTATTAGCATGGATGATGAGTCACGTGGAATATACTGTACTGTATTCTATTGGTATTCATTTGCTTCATGCAACCAATGCTCCTTTTTCTGTGGCAAGAATGTCAAACTGAAAGGAGATTGTCTTCTTACAGTGATTATACAGCAGAATGATTCTCTTGGTCTTTTCAGGTGTTTCCTGTTGTCTGGCACCTATTTTTGATCCTCTGATTTCTCCCCGAAATTGTATCCTGATTGGTACTAAGAAGAGGAGTTGACCCAGCCAAGTGACATAGGGAGCACTGACAAAATCTTTTTTAGATCCAAGTGCATTTGTCATGGTACAAGTGTTGTGTTGCAAGTCTTCTCTCTTCATGGAATCCGCCAATATTGCCAATTGAAAAGATGTTGCAAAGAGAGAGAGAGTGCGCTTGAACTATTGCAAAGGTTGAACACACACAAGTTGTAGAAATTTGGCAGAATTTGAAAGCATAAAAATTGTGCTTCTAATTGGTCAAAAATCCTGTCTTATGAGCATCTCCAAGTCAATTTCACCTGTAATTCCATTTGGCTATTGGAAAGGAAACCCATGACATCATGAGGGACATGTATTTGTTCATGATCTTGATCTTAATTCACTTGAAAGTTTGCCTTGCATATGCAGCAACAATAAATATAGCATTTTTGTCGATGGACATCATGGATTCTTATTGGCAATCCAGACCTTATAGAGAATGTCCGGCTCAGAGAACTGCTCTCAAAAGGTAGCATATAGGTTGAATAGGAAATTGAATAAAGAAGAATTTTTTCAACAGTTCTTGACCTCCATTACATTAAATGCACATCAAATAAAATGAGAATGCCCTCTAAAGCTTTCCTGGAATGGAAAATTAATATAACTGGGCAAGTCAAGCTTTCATTATGTAACTTCCTTCCCAAGAATTCTGAAAACGTTTTTGACATAAGCAAAACATAATTCAATGCTGCCCTGGCAAAACTCTACGAAAATTTCGTCATTGCTGTCATTGATAAGGCCAGCGATAACTTCTGCTTTATATGTAAAAGGCTCTATGGTATAATTATGAAAAAAGAAGCTTTGGAAAATACTATCTATGAACCAGCTAAAGAGTCCCAAGATAAAATCCTTATTAACCTCATGAAAATTAGCAGCAAGTTCAATGTCGCTGTAGATGAAAGAGATATGAAGTTGCCCTTTCTGTTTTCAAATCCTAAATTTCATGAAACTCCTATCAAATTTCGATTCATAGCGAGTTCTGTAGGCACTTGTCTCAAGGGTTCCTCACTTCTTTTAAATGGCATTCTTGGTGGACTCTGTGAGAAAATCCGACTGAGATGCAAGAATTGCCACTGTTACTGGATCATTAACACAAGGATCAAGGTGCCACAAGCCATCAAGGCACTGAATCCAGGAAAGCCAATTCTGTTATGTCATGGGATTTTTCAACTCTATAAAAGAAAATACTGTTAGATATTCTGCATCATAACGTTCTTGAGCTTTTCCAGGACTATGCAGTCAGGCTTCACTTATAAATATACTTTAGTTAGTGAAGATTTATTCTCTATCATTTTGAGGAATTGCTTGGACAATAATTACATCGAAATTGGTGATCAGATTTTTAGGCAAAAGATTGGGATTGCAATGGGCAGCAATTACTCTACTAATATGGAAAGTTTATTTTAATTTTGCTATGAATCGAAACTCGTGAACAAAACCCCTAATCCAGAAGCATATTTAAATACTTTCAGGTGTATTGATGATCTAGTTGCTATAAATAACTCTGCAATACAAACAGATCTTCGTCAAATATATCCTGTCTTAAACTAGAAGAAACTGTTTGTTTCCCCCCATACAAATATGCCCATTATCATTATATTTCTGTGCAAAATGGGACAGATTGTTTCGTCACAGATATATACGATAAAAGAAGGGACTTTAACTTCGAATTCATTAATATGCCCAACGCCAGAATTCCTAGCCATATCAAAAATGTTGTAATTTCCCAACTGAAAAGCTTTTGTCTAATCTGCTCTGACATAGAAGGATTTAACTTTAATAGTGAACTCCTACACCAAAGGCTGAGGAATAATGGATTCTCAAGAGACCTCTTGAGAAAACACTTTAAACTTTTTTTTCTCAGCAATTCAAGCAAGATCTTCGCAATTATCCATCTGAAGAGGGTGATACTGCATTTTCGTGGTTGCATTACTGCACTGTTAATTGCAATAACTATTTTGCAAATCCAGGGGGGGGTCGATTTAGCCGCCTGTGGGGATGGTTAAGCGCCACCTCCCCCAATGACAAAGGGTTAAGGGTCCATGACAAGTCAATAACAATAGGTGATGCACGTAGTTGTAGGGACATCACCGATCGAAGTACACGACCAAAATCACATGATGGATGACAATAATAATGTAGATAATAAAAGTCAAAAGGCTAACTGGTGAAGCGGAAGTCATTGAAGGACATTTTGCTAAGCAAATAGGCTAAATGCAGTTGTGAAGATTTAAAATTATCGAACGACGCGTAGCTCAAATGCAAATGTGAGGGCCCAGCCTTAAAAACGCATTGAGAATTCAGGTACAAAAATTTCAGATGAGGAAGTGTCGCTAATTATTTGATGATTTGATCATCGTCTTTCATACCATCCACGTTCGGCGCTTCTATCCACAGCGCATACGATAAATCGCATCACCACTGGCTATCAAGTGCTCATGGTTTTTTAGTGGAACTCGTGAAGATTCTTTACTATGTGTTCAATTCTCCAGCTGCAAAAGAAATATGAAAGGCTCAAGTTACGTTATGGTCACGTTTGAGGATGAACATGGCGAAACCCCTTTCCAATCCTCCATTTAAATTTGGTTTTCCTTTTGATTTTTGATAAGGAGCTCGACAATTAAGACACGGATCGACAAGGTCAGCCCGAGCATCAGCCATGCCCAAAACACTCATCCCTGCCTCCCTCTGATATTTGGATCGGGCTCCATGAAAGAGGCTACTTCCGCGGTTCGCGGAAGTAATATTTTCTGAATTAGGTGCACTAACTAGAGTGATCACAACACATCAACCACATGAAAAGAGACCAATACTGGGCATAGAGACGAACAATTGATTCTGAGTTCTCATCAGGTGAAAGGGAGAGGAAAATATATGTCAGTGAGACGTAAACACTGACCTCTCAGCCGTCATGCGAGATTGTTCAATTCAAAACCTCCTGTTGCATTTCTGGGTTCACTACCGTTCTGAAAAATTCTGCTCGACGTTTTGGCTGATGAACTTTGGTTGGTCCCTTAGAAGTTCGAACGGTCAGAACGGGATTGAATCCCTATAGCTCTTGACACAAAATCCTGGCGATAACTGGGCGCGCCCTGGAACGCTCAGAGGCGGTTCAGTTTCTTTTCGCCAGCCAGTGTTTGTTTCCAGGGGTTTTAAAATCAGTCCCGTGATTTTCATTTTTTCTTTGGACAGGTAGAAGATTTCAGGGGCTACACGTGGCAAGGGGTTATACGTGGAACGGGAGATTGCCAGGCGAGAAACGGAGGGAGCAAGATGTTACTCGCGATGCACGACTGAAAGCAATACGCGATTATTACAACAATCGAGGTGCCATCTGCGAGCCATCGCAACCAGTCTTAACTTCTAAATGGTCGACTTAAGTGTTTACCTCGTGGATTCAATGATTTGAAAAAGTTTGATTCGACCATTTTCATTTCGACATTTTGTCACTTGGCTATTTTCGACATTCTGGTATTCTCCAATGTTACCTTTCGGCATTTTACTTTTCGACCAATCCATTTTCGTCTAATTTTAGCGAGACCCATCAGCAACAGTGCGAGCAGGTCTATGAAGCCACTCGTGAACATAGGCGTGTTGAACTGAAGGAACTGACTTAAAGATTCAATCCCAGTTTTGGTTTAATGTTTTCTATTGTTAATGACAAGATTCTATATCGCAAAATTAGTCCGTGATGACTCCCAGGGCAGTTGAGCGATTAGCTCAAGGATCAACGAGTCACTGATTATCGTAGCCTATTGAGCCGATGAAATCATGGAAAGGTACAATTTTAATTAACATTGTCCCCATTGATGAGGCACAGATCCATTTCTTTAAACTCGGGAATAAACAGCAGTCAAGCATTAAAACTCGTTTGAAAAAACGTTTCCCCCTCTTGAGGTTGAAACGAAGGAGAGCACTTTTCAAACTAGTAGAAAAAGTTCGTGGTTATTCTCCGGAAAGAGAGGTGAGCAGCTTTGTTTCCTTGTTTTTAGGGTGTGAAATTGCTAACTCCAGTTTCGCTCCCTTTCTCGGAAATCGCTCACTCTTTTCTAAGAGTGCATGGTTTACCAACAGAGACCTTTGAGAAGACCTTATAAGGGGATAATCTTTATGAAGTACAGGATATGGCACACCGGTATATAGGACTAAGCTATCGTTAGGTCATCCGAAATGCAGTCTAGTTGGCCAAGGTGTCTTCCTTGGAAATATGTAAATGACACGATACGGTTTCAAATCTTGAATGATCGCTCGCAATTCGACTGCGAATTTCAATTACAGAAACACTCCACTCAAACTATTAGCTGCGTATGAATGAAACCTGTTACGCATTGCGAAAGCAAGCTGGTCATTGCCATGAGAGCGACAAGCAACTACCTAGCATGGCTGAAAGTGATTTCAGGACATTCCTGGAAAAGGAGATGGCGAGAGAAGCGATTGTGAAATACGAGCGATGAGGGAGAAATAGCCGAACAATTGCAAACTTGAGACTTAAACAACTTAAACTTGAGAGTACCGGACCAGGTACAAATCTGCCATTACACTGGCCCCTATGACATTCGAACTGTTATCGTCGCCATGTGCTTCGTTGGACATACATACTGCTAGTCGCACGTGGTGCGACTGGCAGCATCGGAGCACTATTTCTGAATGTGTAAAAGAGCGAAATAGGGCTCGTATCTCTACGGTCCCTTCCGCCGAGGAAATTTGCCTCCTTGTGTAATATGCAGGGAAGGGTTGCTCCACTGGAAGACAAGCAGAGACGACAGGAGGGTATTGCAGTGTGCGTGGTGCGCACGGAGGATGTCTGTAGGCATAATGTGCCGCTTGAAAGGGATGAGATCCGCAACACTTACGATGCCAGTCTTAGGCATACGCTCTTGAGAAAAAAATGAGCTATTTCCGAGAAAGGGAGAGAAACTGGAGTTAGCGATTTTACACTCTAGAAACGAGGAAATGCAATCGATAACCACTCTTTCATATGAGCAGGAAAAAAGTATCACAGTGAAATGAACAATAGCTAATTGATGAATTGAACAAATTGTCTAAAGTGAAATTTCGGCATTCCTTTGTCTGACAAATGATTAGCCATTATTGGAGCCAGGTTTCCATTGTAATCAGAGATAGCTTCTTGATCGTTGGCTGTCTCCATTTCTCTTCTTAGTGGTTCACAGGGAACAATTTTGAAAATCTTGATTATAATATATTTCAGCCTTTTCCCACGACGCTTATTTTATATTGGCGACAGTTTTCATACTGATACTCATGGAATCAAACCGGATAGCAAACTGGTGGCTTTTGAAATCCCCCTCAGAAGGGAACTGTCGACTGTTCACGCCTTCGACGGAGAAGGAGAAGAGACTGAATGCTTCATCAACGGAGGCTATTTCATTCCATGTGGATCTAAAAAACAGAAACATTTTCATACTCGTGACTTCATGTGTTTCTAAGTATACGTCATGAAACGAGAGGAAGGAATCTCAATGTATAAATGTGTCCCTTTCCATCACTACTTTTTGGAGTCATAGCATCCGAGATGAACCAGGCAGTGCGCCCGACCATCTGGGATTTCCATACCATCGAGATCTATGCCGTACATCCCTGTTTAATGACGTAAAGTAAGTGCTGGGCGAAGCTTTCCTAGGTTCGGTCGATAGGGTCGTACAAGGACATAAATGTCCTGTTGATAGAAAAATTGCGAGATAAAACACTTAAATGTAGATTGTACCTCGCTATGCAGCTTCAATGATGGAACTTAGCGGGAGAAAATTTCCCTCTTGTGCATGCGATAGTTGCCAAGTTTTTAATTACGAACTTGATGCATGGGAATACTACGGCACAATCAAGAGGCGTGAAGTTTAAAAGATCACCCCTCATTTGGACGATGTCCTCATGTGATAATTAGGTTCTTATGGAGTCTTCCAAGGACCGTTCACGGATCAAGATCGACACATTGACTCACCATTATGAGAGGAAACGCCTTCGAGAACTGTCCTTGGCACCCAGCGCCCTTACACTGAGTTTCTTCCTGCTTGATTGCGTTTGACGTAAGACGTTATTCAATCATCAATGAGCACAGCATTGGCGTTTGCCGATGAATTATGCACGATGCCATCGGAAACAATATGTCATTTTAAATGAGTTTGGAATTGCGGTTTTCCCCATAAAATATCCAGAATGGCCTTGAATGACGTCAAATTCTTGGAATGGATAAGGACTGGAAGGTGAAATTAAGAGTTTCTCATCCTTAAAACATTAGTTTCGGCAACCCCGGTCCTCGCAAGTTTTCGCAACACTGAGGAAGCCATGGAACTGCTTTTGTTGATCTGATTGAAGGGGCTCCTCTCTGAGCCCAACGCGGTCCGAGAAGTACTTCGACCATTTTGCTCTCTCCAAAGGAACTATTGCACTCACTTGTGACGTTACAGAGGTTTAATTAAAGCAATAATCAACGAAGAAATTGAATTTATATTCAGCGGTCAAGTCAAGGAACCAAAATCGTTCTCCTAACCGGAAGACCGGCTTTTCTATTTTCCAGAAGAAATATCAAAGGCACACGGAAAATCTACATTGCTACCTCATCACGAACTCAAAATATGTGTTATGCAAAGGTAGAATGCATAGTACAGTGAGACGATTAAAATGACGCAAGTCATTCAGAGTTTCATTTCTTCTTCCGTATGAATGATGGAGCAGCTTTTTTTTGTTACAGGTGCATTTTGAGGCTTTTCATCCATTCGATTGCTTCATAAGAGGCGGAGTGGAATTCGGTAGTTCCACCACTGAAGGCGAAGATGCAGCAGTCGTTGACGGCTTGCCGGGGGTGACTGCAGTCGCATCTCGCGCTGTTTGATGCGCCATTCGTGCATCAGGTGTCCGCATCGTTCTTGTAGGGTTCTGATGCGGGTCATGTTGGTCCACTGGCGGTGAGGAAGGGCGAAACCTGGACGTTCGGTGGTGGGATCCGGGACGAGGCTTTTGTTTTTCACGTCGGCCGAGGCCCAATCTTGTTTCCACTTCTCTCCCTCATTGATGTTGGCTGCGTGAAAAAAGGCCGTTCGGCCCAGAACGGTCGTCGCGAGTGGAGGCGGTTCGGAGGTACAGGGTCCAGATCTCTCCGGATCGGAAGGTCTTGGTGATGTACAACCATATTGTATCCCCGCAGCGCCGTTTGGCGTCGTACTTGCGGCGGAGGGGTGCGTGCAAGCATCGGGAGCCACCACGTTGGCGTTCACTTCAACGCACTGGTAACTGTACACATGGCGATGTTGAGCTGCGTGTCGAAGTGACTGGTGACGCAGCGTCCCCATACTGGACAGAGGCTTTCCACTGTTGAGTACACGAGGGCGAGTGACGCTGTCCGAAGAGTTTCGGTAGATTCGTGGAAACCAATACACGAGAAAAATATATAAAGAATATTTTCTTTAAAAAAATTTTTCCCACTATTAAAATGGAATTGACATAGGAAAAAGGACTGAAAAATGCGCGGAAGAAGCAAGATCAATACAGTACTTTCCAATTCTGCTGTTTTCTTGCTTCCTTTACATTTTCTTTAAAAAGTCCAGTTCCGGTTCGCGGAAGTAATCATAACGCACAGTAACTACAGTGATCACAACTCACCAGCCACACAAAAAGACAGCCATACCGTGCATAGAGACACACTAAGACAACAATCGATTCTGAGATCTGACCAGCCAAAGGGGAGAGGGAAAGATATAAGTCAAAGTAAGACGTAAACACTTACGTCTCCGCCGTCATGCGAGACTGCTAAATTCAGAGCCCTGTTGCATTTCAAGTTTCACTACAGTTCCGAAACCTCCTGCTCGACGCTTCGGCTAATGATTCTTGGTCGGTCCCTTAGGCGTTCGAATGGTCCGATTGGAATTGAATCCCTATAGCTCCTGACTCAAAATCCTAGCGATAACCGGGAGAGTCCTGGAACGCCCAGAGGCGGTTTAGTTTATTTTCGCCAGCCAGTGTTTGTTTCCAGGGGTTTTAAAACCAGTCCCGTGATTTTCATTTTTTCTTTGGACAGGTAGAAGATTTCAGGGGTTACCTCATGGGGTTTTTCTTATAATTTATGAAAGATGGGATTATGTTTCCCGGAGTACAAATCCAAGTTTAGCACTTGATCCCCTATTTCCCCTTTCTGGTGCTTTTACGTTCACTTGATTCAGAAGGCGAATTTCTCCACTTAGATTTCTCTAACCCACGATTTCTGATCACCACACCGAGTCTGATTAATTGATTTATTATAAGAATTGAATCAATTTAACTGAACAAAAAAAAGAACACAAAAATGTAATATTGACACTTGGAGGACGGTGTTGAAATAAAAGGAACAAAATGTATTAGTAACCCAAATCAACAGAAAAAGAACCAGTCCGTCTCACATACACAACAAATGGAATGAATGTCGGTCTTTAAGGATTTAGATAAACATTTACCTCAGGCTTAATCCCTTACCCAATCTATGTCCCTAGCACCTGGCTCGGAAATATTACTAAGGGTCGAAAGAAACTCATGTATCCTGTCCTCAGATACTCGTCACTGAATCGAATTTAATGTGAAGCTTCCGGACCAAAGGGACTCTTCAAATCTTTGGTAGGGGAGGAGATGAAAAGGAAACGAATAATTTTGAGGGAGGTAACCACGATCAAAAGGTAGTGCCGAGTCCCCGATCTGCTCGGAACAGGCTCTTACTTTCAAGCTTTCCTCCGTTGTGGATTTTTGGAGGAGGAGTTTCTTAAACTGACCACCCCCCTCATTGGTCATCTGGGTTTCAGAAAAAACCTCTATTGGGTAAACAATTGGGGACAAAGTTATTCCCATTAATTTCTGGATCCAGTTTATAGTTCGTGTACATGTCAAAGAAATGGGTTCGAAAAGGGGTAATTCCATAAACAACGTGCGGTGTTAAAGTTTAATCTTGATTCCAGCACATGTTGGTTAACACGGATGTCAGAACAGGACCTCGACTAAAACGTTAGCAATTTCCCTTCATTAAGAGGCAATTAGCCTAATACTGGTTCAAGTAGACACGTGCTATTATGACGTACACAAATACTATGTGCAAGGGTCACATTTGAACACGTAGGGTACAGTTACTTCCATTTTGTAACAGACCTGATGCATATAGAAAAGGCAAACATTCGGAATTCTTGAAGCACTTTTACATCTTGGGTACTTTGTAAGGTGGCTTCACCAAAACACCTCTCTGCCTCCCTCGATATGCTTCTAGTGCTCCCGAAGAAGTAGAGTGAGAAAGGCGACGTCCGAACATCCCTGTGATGGTACATTCCCCTTGTCATAAATTTCTCCTTCCCCTTTTTCCCGTCTAAACGAATTAGTCATCCCGTCCGCCCCTAGCTGGCGTCCAAGATCTTCCTTTCTCCTTCACTGCTCCGTCGTAACTACTTCATCCCATCATCTCCGTGAATCATATGTGATAATCCTATTTGATGAAGTTGACTTGACTTCGGTATCAGGTCCGCCACGTTACAGTACATATAGCTCATTCCTATACAATGCTCCGCAGGGTAATATTAGTTTTGCGTTAGTAAAGAATTCGGAAAGAGAATGAATATATGCAGTGCATGAAAGAAGACTTGAGATTCCCCACCAATCTCATGTAAATATTACGGCCTATCATCTGAAAATGTGGATTACCAAACACGTACTTGGACCAAAATGGAAGTCACATTTAACATTACATCCTAATAGCTTCAAATTTGGCTCAAAAGAAGTTCATGACCAAAGTCATTTCGAACTTCCAGATGTATTAAGAACAAAATTTGTTTCAAATGAGAGATAATGTTGGTTTCCTGAGAATTTTAATTTGTTAAATTTGGTTCTGAAAACTTCTGGACTCTATCCAGAACTTCCATACTGTAATATTTCTCCAATTGAGTCTGGGTGAAGGAGGACTCGAAGGCAACTTTGAACCATTTGTCCAAAAGGCCGGCTTCTCGGAATCTCTGCAAGTTGGGATTCATGGATTCACGAAGGAGGCTGTACTTGGGGAACGGCCAGCCAATATCACCGCAGGCGATGGGTTTCGGGGCAATGCGGAATTTGTCCTTTCCTTGTACGATCAAGATCCAAGTCGAAGATGTTAGGGACACGATGAATGCCACCTTGTCATTTCGAGCGATAAAGAAGTCGTCCAGGGGTATTGGAACGTATTCCAGGCTTCGGTGACCTGAATGAACTCCAATCGATTACAAATCGGGGCGTAGCCGGGAGAAGTCTTGATAATACGATCGACTCCGCCTCCGTGATAGAGCTTGCCCAAAGTGAAGTCAGTGGCGAGCAGGTCTGCCAGGGAATCGATGGTGGGAAGAAAAATTGGAACGCTGAGGAAAGATATCAAGTTGGAATGATCCCGATCACGACGGAAACGAGCGAAAATGTAATCCAAAACATTTTCCCAGAATTCCCTTTGATCTTGGTGTCAAAAGAGCGACCCCAGGAAAAGATAACCTCTAAGGTTCGCACCCAATAGTAGAGAAATGTCACATTTTGAATCCTTTCCTGTGAGAGATTATTGAAGAAGAGAAGACACGATGCCCCAACGATACTCGTCACGATGATAATTATCCACACGCGAACTTGGAATGGGAGAAAGATGTTGAGCCAGGTTGGAATAGGCTTGGCAGGCCTGGTGATGAGGGACAAGCAATCTTGACACACTGCTCGGGTGAAATCCACCAATTTCGCGAATTCGTTTGTGATAGAGACGCAACTCATTGAGAAGTCGACTGTGTTGGCAACCACATCCCCAATCTTTCCCATAGGCTTTCCGGTACTGTCGTTATTCACTCCCCATGTCCCGTCGGCTGTCTCTTTGAGAATGAAGGTGAAATTGAGAATCTTGGACAGTTCTGTGACGATGCGGATTTCATATCCGTCCGTGCTGTATTCCCCGCTGGTCTTGTTTTGGATGACCCATGGAAAGTATTCCAAACTGTCTCTTTGAGAATGAAGGTGAAATTGAGAATCTTGGACAGTTCTGTGACGATGCGGATTTCATATCCGTCCGTGCTG